TACCTCGTCGATGGAGAAGAAGTTGGCTACCGTGCGTGCTAGTCCAAGCGGTTTATTCCGAAAGTCGTGTTCCTCTGAGCCGTTGCTCGTCCACAAGAGGATATAGGCTTTGATGGTAAAATTGGCATGTGGCCCTTTGCCAAGCAAGCTCCAGCAGTCAGAATTTCGCGCAATCGACTCTCTGGTACAATGGTTACCACCGTTATCAATGTTGACACCACGTACCGTGTTTGGGTTCTGAATCGCGTTATTCCGGCTATCATGGAAAAGTTTCCAAACTCCAACCAGCGTATCGCCCTGCATCATGACAACGTCATCCTAATGGGTCAATTGACGACGCTATCCTAGCGGAAGACTCCACGCACGGGTGGACCTTTGTTGTCGGAAGCCGGCGAATAGTCCGGATTTGAACGTGCTCGACCTTGGATTCTTTGCGTCGATACAAACCTTACAGTACAATTTGGTAAGGAAACCACACCTTCCCATGGCGCACATGTCCTTCATAACATCGATTTCATTGAAGATTCACCTTCTGATGTCTCGCAACAATATTTCGTACGTTCGTGAATGTCGTAGCGATTTTCATGAAGACTTCGAGGGTCTTCACAATAGTTAGCTGGAATTGTTAGGAAGCAGTTGAGACTTTCAACCGTTTGCCATGATTGCGTCCTGCTACACGTCTTTGACGAATCGCGAGCGCTGGGGAGTGATCGTCATGCTGCAACTCTCGTTGGTCGAACCCGCAGCAAAGGCAGGTTTACTCCATTGTCTGACGCCTTCGACGACGACCTTAGTTTCTTCGAAAGCACGACACCATTGCGCAACCTACTCGGTGACGTCGGTCACTTCGAGCACGTTGTCAGCATTTTCTAGTCCTTGTCTCGGGTGCTACTGGAATCTTAGCGCTCCACGGTGGTGCTGTGACGGTGTTTTGCCTTGTACGGATGTCGGCGAAGCAATGCGTATGATGGTGCCTTTCGATACCAAACAGTCCTGTACTACACGCAAAACTTATCTCTGCCATTTTTCGGCGTTTGGCGATGCGACCTCCTATACACTTTGATGTAATCCATCGCCCGGATGCATACGTTTGGCCCAAGTGGCCCTCCAAGCGTGCGATCGGTGCGTCTTTCGTCACGACTGATAGCCCGACCAGTCCCAGTACGAGGCAGATGTGCGACCAGATATATTCTCTCCTCGGTTATTCCAAACCGATTGCAATGTTCATGCCGTGTCCGACGACTCCAACGATGAAGAAGAGGCGGCGCGATTCCCTTGGTGGGTTTGCATCACCACACTATTGACCACGCATCGCCATCACGTGTTGAATCATACCACCAGCCGCACAGCACCAGAACGGACACAATCCGAATGCAGATCTCGAAAGTCGGCTTGGAGTGGAAAAGCCCGTGAGCACTTACGAAAGCATGAACAAGCAATTGGGCAAACGCGCTGGGGAAGGTGTTACTGTTCCTATTGTCGAAAGGCAGTAGACGAAGGGGGCTGGGGGGCATCGGTCGTGTCTTGCCAAGTATGATCGGGAAATCTGCATCTACGATTCGTATGACCAGGCGATCGATTCTGTCGGCATGCGTTGGCCTGGCATGCGCATAGAGTCGCAAATCTGTGCATGACGTCCTCCTGTCAGGGGGTCTTCTATCGAAATCGAGGAATGACGCCGTGGACACGCCCGGCACCCATCACCCTTCCAACTCGAAGCATCGAGTCGAACACAATGCACCCGATTCCCAATCCTACACAACATCACCGATGGACAACGCATGATACTCGTACGATCCTCATGAGTTGTTCGGACGACTTTCATCGGCTTGGAAACAAGGCTACAGTTGGGATGGTTAAGATGACACACTTAACGGTCCAAGCGATCGACAAGTTGGCCGACAGACGCTCGAAACGGTCTGGTTTCCTCGCATGGTTTGTCGGATCCACCGTAAATAGGCACGCACACTCGGCGCTGCAGTGGAGCCAACGGAGGAAAGTGGCTGCTGGCGGCGGCGACCGTGTCTTCGGTATCCATATGCGGGCTGTCTCGCCTTCGACTCAGCAAAGGGCGAACGTTGTGGTTATCGGGAACCGCTTCAACATATCCAACGACGCGGTGGACAAAGGAGTGGTGGAAACACGCGAGACACACCGTGGCTGTGAGTGGATGATTTGCATTTGTTCGCAAGCCGCCATGCGTCCACCTTTGACCATGCACAAGGAGCTTCTCGGCGCATTCGAGGCACACGACGTTTCCACAGAGCCGACAGAATTTCTTGGGCGACATATGCAACAAGATGGCGCAAAGGTGACACGCGACCGGAGTGGCGCACGGCACCCGCGACGTGAGAAGTCGGTCCATCGTGACAAGGTCCAAGCCATCCACCATGGACACTCGTCGACCGGTTGTCATGGCAAACACCAGTCGATGGGTGCCAATCGTTTATGCAAGTGACAAGGAGCATAAACGGGGTACGCACTGACCTATGCACCACCGCCGCTGTTGTTTTCCAAAGAAAAATATCTCCTGCCAGGTTTCCGAAACCGCGCGGTGGCGCCCCATAATATCGCGATCACCACAGTTCCGTAGCAGCCAATGAGGCAGAGTCGACCACGATTTCGTAGCCTTGTCGAGCAACGGCCGAGCATTTGTGGCTTCTCTGCTTGTCGTTGTCGAGGCTAACTGCACTGAAACTCGGTGCACCAACGCGTTAGTACATGCAGAGATTTCGTGATGAGTGGACGTTGATCTCACCTGCATGGCGTTGTATTCGACTGATTGACGGCAATAGGTCGCCCGGTGTACGTACCTCGGCAGTGCAAACGCAATGACGACCCTGCATCAACAGTCTCGCGACGCCGTTTATGCACACCCGTTCAGCTTTGGATTTTCACGACGAGGGTTGTGCAACATCAACACACTTGTTTAAACTGCTCACTGCTCTTCGTTGGATCCTTTAGTTTACTGTTGGCTCGTACAAGGTGGTCTCCCCCTCTAGATCGCTGCCACCAGCTCCGCAGCCATCGTCGTCGAGTAGAGTCGACTCGGATGACGCGTTGCTGTACATTTGAGTTGAATGGAAACGCTGGAGGAAAGGAACGTCCTCGTCGTGTTGAGTGGTCGACGTATCCAACAGCGTGGCCAAATGGCTTTGAATACACACACTTATGTGTTCACAAGCTTCCACGTGGTGCCGTTCCAAGCTTTGAGGTAACAAGTCGTTCCCGAAGCATGTCGAAGCGTACGACTGGAGCTCGTTTTGTAGGGCCTCACAACGAGGGAGCTTGAGCTCATGCAGCACTTCCAGTTCTTGGTCGTCCATGATGAGTGTGTTCGTATCCAGGTTCAGTTGGACAAGGGAAGGCACGGGTCGCCGAGACTGATGGTTCGAGCAGACTTGGCCCACGAGAAAGGGAACGGGGGCTTCAAGAATTTCTACCAGCGACGGTGGCAACAAAGTAACGACCACTCCAGCCTACCGCATAACGTTATCGGTTTGAACGATACGGAAACAATTTCGATACCCATTCAAACGGATCAAGTAATGCCCGCAACGCAAGCACACATGATGTGATCAGGGACGGATTGGACGAAAGCAACAGCACTCGAACTTCGCAGCACAGACATCCGAGAAGGAGAAGTAAATGATCCAAGCTGACTTTGGAAAACAAGCGTGGTGACGTGAACTCAAGGATGAACTGCCTCGCCTCGTGGCGCGATGTTGAAGTGTGCGGACGATGAAAGGTCAACAAGGGATGCTGGGGATCCAAACGAAAACAGCACCACCCTCCAATGGGTGGGACACTTGTGCCATGGAGGCGTCGTAATGCGTCGTCAAAAATGACTTGGACTACATGTTCATCGAGTGACGCAAGGATAATTTCATCGTTTGACATGGAGCGAATTTTTCGTACCGGCTTGTGGGGTGTGGTTTTGACACATGGAGATGACCCCTCGGAGGAGTTTGAAGAAGAGACTAAAAAAAGGATGGACGCTAACAAGGCAAAAGCATCGCAACGGCCGCTGCAATGTCTGGACGCACATTGCATACATGTTCTACATAACGATATGTCCATTAGACGGCACGACATGTGCCGTAGCAAAATTGAGAGCGGCTACCTGTGCTGGTTGAGTTCCCGACAACAACACAACAAAGCAGAGGTCGTCTTCATCGTTCGTAAAACTTCCTGCGCGAAGTGAATTTCCGTGTGGAAAGCAAAACTCCATCATAGGCTCTACATCTGCCAGCGATGCCGATGATGGAAACACACTCATGATCTGCGTGGGAAAAACGCAATTTTTATCACCCGCACTGTTGAAGATACAATGTAACACACCGCTGGTTTTCGGGGCACCACACAGCCTTGGGACGGGGACGTTGGTGGTGATTTGAGCATTTTGCCGAGCCAAGATGAAGGAGACTGGACTTCGATGTCGTCTTTTCCATGAGGTTTGTGCAAGTGATCCTTTGAGGCGTCGATAATGTAGTCGTCGGGATAGCCAAACAAAATGCCGTGATGGAAGAGTTCCGCGTCGCTGGATGCAGCGGCGGCTTGCAGAACCTGGGGGATATTGTTGTTTACGCGGAACACACTATGTTTACACTGTCTCAGCGAATGATGAAGAATGGCACAACAAAGTTGAGTTGTGCACCTTTGGCAAGCTTCATCAATTTCAGCTCGTGTGGGGGGAGACTTCCGCAAACTTGGCTTTCTTTCAGGTACGCTATTCGCAGGTTGTTCTGCATTGGATGATGTCGGAGGATGGATGGAGTGTTTCCTTTTCGGGCTTAGAAATTGCATTAGAGGCGACTTTCTGGCGTGGACGAACTCTTCTTCGAGTAGTTTGAACTTTGCAACGAGGGATTTGTGTCGCGCTCTCAGCACATCGAGCTCCCGTTCGAGGACTAAACACTTGGAGCACTCGGGAGTCTCAGGTGAGTCTTGTCCATGCTCCAGCGCGGCCTCTAGCCTTTCCTCGCATTCCTGTCGCTCATGTCAGTCGCACCAGATCACCATCAAGGACGAGAGAGTACCTGGAGCTGTCTTGTGAGGCTTCTAGTCACCTGAACTTCCTTCAGGTAATTCTTCCGCCAAGTGTCCTGTTCATCGGCCAGCGCATTCTCCATCGACGACAAGTTGGTTTCTGATGGATCTTGGTTAGTATCCGGAAAATATCCGGATAGTTGAAGTTTGTCCTCAGGTACATTTGAAATTTGTATGGTACTTCCCGCGCAAACGTCAGTGCTAAAATTTCCTCATCGTGCTCGCGTCACCCTCGATGCCACTCGCATCGAGGGTGACGTGGCGAAGCCACAAGGTGAGAGGCTCAACAACGACTCGATCGATTGAAGCTGCCGCGGGAGACTTCGAGAGTAGACGGCGATGATATGAACAGTCGTCAGATGTAAGTGCAGCTGAATGCTTGTACTAGTACAGTACATGTACAAAAGCATTCCAGCGGTTCAAAACATCTACTCTGACTTTGGCTCCAAAACTGAAAAGAAGATGGAAGGCTTCTTCACTGGGACTCGAGCCTCCAAAGTGCGTGCGAGGTCAAACAGGACATGCTCGTTCCAGTGTTTGACCTGCAGTTGCAGAGATATTGGCAAGTTGGACTCCGGTGCGTAACCCATTGGGACTGATAAAGCCGGAATCCCAACCAAGTTTCCCAGGAGGACAAAGCGCATCAGGGCAGTTGTCAGCGACAGCTCTGACAATCCAGCGGTGAACACATCGTTTTCCAGTCGTGGAGCCAAAGCTGCCGTTGTTGGAGTGAGAAATACGTCAACTTATTCAAACAACTTCCTTGTGGCAGCCAACGCGTACGCCCGAATCTTTTGTGCTGCCAGAATATCCGCCGAGTCGAGAGTTTGTTTTCCGAGTGCCAAAGCGATTTGCACATCAGGGCTGAACGAAGCCACTGGCTGTGTTTCGTAGTACTGTGACACCTCTGTCAAGATGGTGATCGAATGGCTCATGTGGATCGCTTGCAGGTGCGGGATCTCGACGTCGACCACCGTCGCGCCCTGCTCTTTCAAAAACGCCACCGTGTCCCAAAACGCTGACGCAATCTCCGGGGCCGACCCGTCCACGTAAGCCGGAAAGACCCCGACGCGGAGACCCGCCAAGGACTTGGGTGAGGGGGACGGAGGCAGCACAAACGGCGGGGGCTGCGTCAGACTCAGCGGTAGATCCGGGTCGGCCCCGCTGAGCACCGCGTACGCCAGGGCTGCGTCTTGCACCGTCGCGGCCAGCGGACCCACGTTGGCCACACTCGGGCCGCCTTGGAAATGGAACGGCACGCGCATGTAGGTCGCCTTGACGCCCACCACCCCGCACAGACCCGCAGGAATCCGAATCGAGCCCCCGCCATCGCACCCAATCGCGAGAGGCACGAGTCCCGCTGCGACGGCCGCCGCCGAGCCGCTCGAGGAACCGCCGGTCATGTGTTGGTCGTTGTACGGATTGCGAGGAGTGCCACAAGCAATGTTGATGCCGAACGTCCCGAGGCCAATTTCGTGCATGTTGGTCTTTCCGACGAAAATCGCGCCGGCTTGGCGAAGTCGGGCTATCGGGGTGTCGTCTTCGGTGGCAAGATCATCCATGAAGGATGTGCCAAACGACGTCGTATAGCCGTCAACATTTAACTACGACAGGATATGTAAGGAGTGCGTCGTGGAATGCTCAGGGAAAATGCTGCATGATATCACCTCGTCTTTTACGGCGACTGGGACACCATCCAATACCCCGATGGGAATTCCGCTCGCATAGCGTTGCGTGGAAGCGGCAGCTTCTTCAATCACAGCCTCTCGATTGACCTTGATGAAGGCCAGGAGCGGTGGCGACAAGGCGTTCGAAGCGTCGATGGCATCGAGGACAGCGGCAATCACTTGGGACGGCGTGACTGTTTGTGCCTTGTACCGACTGGTGTAGTCGTGGATAGTCCATCGACAGAAGGAGCCGTTCTTGACGTCAATGGGTGTGTCCGCCAGAGCTTCGATGCTAAATGCTGACGCCAGCTTCACGTGCTCTGCCAGTAGTTCAGCCGACGGCGGGTGCAGGGGGAGGTATAGCGGCATGACGTCTCCGAGTATAGAGGCAAACTCACGGGCGTGCTGGAAGTTGTTGTCCTTCTTAATTTTCTTTAAGATCGTGTTGCCCAGGCCAGGGAATCGAGTGAACTTTGCAAAGACCTTGAGGGATGTGCCAGTCAATCGTGGAGCGTGAATCGGTTCAAGATCCATCACGGTTGCATTTGTTCTGAATGGAGCATTGCCCGTCGTCGTCGGTGCTGCCATGCTTCGCGTTGCAACTTCCTCAATGGGCACCGCAGCCCCAATGCTCCCAGCGGAGGACAGTCGTTTCTCACGCATGATAATGTTCTCTCCTGCGCTGCAAAGTTGACTTCTCACATGTGCATGCGCATTTTCGTAGTTTACTTCATGATTTTTGTCCATAATTCCCCCGATTCTGCGTATTTTTAATTTGTCCAAACCCGAATGACCATATGAAGAAGATCTCGTCGACGTGAGATCTCAAGCACCTCAAGATGGCCATGCCAAGCACGTTGGACGGGCCTGCGATCGCTCTTATGCTGACGATAAGCACAGTCGCGTTCATTTACGTGGTGTACAAGTTCTCCCAGTGGAAGTGAGTCGTTTCTCACGTTGTCTCTTGTACTGAAAGCATGACTTCTTGTGAATGGTGCATACACATTTTCGCAGTATTTTTCATGATTTTTGTCCATAATTCTCCCGATTCTACGAATATTTCTCTGCCCAAATCCGAATGACCAATTGAGGAAGATCTTGTCGACGTAAGATTTCAAGCACCTCAAGATGACCACCCCAAGCTCGTTTGACGGGCCTACGATTGCTCTTGTGCTGACGATAAGCACGGTCGCGGTCTTTCACGTGACGTACAAGATCCTGGCTGCGCCCAAGCGGGCCCCGTCCCGAGAAAACGTCATGGACCTCGTGCCCATCCAAGCGCCACGGTTAACCGGGTTGGCACTCACCCTCTTTTCGAAAGTCACTTCGATCCCGATCGTGGGGAAGCTGGTTCTTCAATCCATTAAGAACGACAACAACTTCCAACATGTCCGCGAGTTTGCTGCCACGTTGACCCACGTTTTGCCGCTCTATTTGCCCATGGCGCCGCCGCCGGCAGAAGTGCTGGTAGAACACACCGAGTTAGCGTCATCATTTAGCATCGAAGCTCTGGCGGACACACCCATTGACGTCAAGAACGGCTCCTTCTGTCGATGGACTATCCACGACTACACCAGTCGGTACAAGGCACAAACAGTCACGCCGTCCCAAGTGATTGCCGCTGTCCTCGATGCCATCGACGCTTCGAACGCCTTGTCGCCACCGCTCCTGGCCTTCATCAAGGTCAATCGAGAGGCTGTGATTGAAGAAGCTGCCGCTTCCACGCAACGCTATGCGAGCGGAATTCCCATCGGGGTATTGGATGGTGTCCCAGTCGCCGTAAAAGACGAGGTGATATCATGCAGCATTTTCCCTGAGCATTCCACGACGCACTCCTTACATATCCTGTCGTAGTTAAATGTTGACGGCTATACGACGTCGTTTGGCACATCCTTCATGGATGATCTTGCCACCGAAGACGACACCCCGATAGCCCGACTTCGCCAAGCCGGCGCGATTTTCGTCGGAAAGACCAACATGCACGAAATTGGCCTCGGGACGTTCGGCATCAACATTGCTTCTGGCACTCCTCGCAATCCGTACAACGACCAACACATGACTGGCGGTTCCTCGAGCGGCTCGGCGGCGGCCGTCGCAGCGGGACTCGTGCCTCTCGCGATTGGGTGCGATGGCGGGGGCTCGATTCGGATTCCTGCGGGTCTGTGCGGGGTGGTGGGCATCAAGGCGACCTACATGCGCGTGCCGTTCCATTTCCAAGGCGGCCCGAGTGTGGCCAACGTGGGTCCGCTGGCCGCGACGGTGCAAGACGCAGCCCTGGCGTACGCGGTGCTCAGCGGGGCCGACCCGGATCTACCGCTGAGTCTGACGCAGCCCCCGCCGTTTGTGCTGCCTCCGTCCCCCTCACCCAAGTCCTTGGCGGGTCTCCGCGTCGGGGTCTTTCCGGCTTACGTGGACGGGTCGGCCCCGGAGATTGCGTCAGCGTTTTGGGACACGGTGGCGTTTTTGAAAGAGCAGGGCGCGACGGTGGTCGACGTCGAGATCCCGCACCTGCAAGCGATCCACATGAGCCATTCGATCACCATCTTGACTGAAATTTCGCTGTTGATGGAGACCCAACCACGGCACTTGTTCAGCGCGGATGTTCAAATTGGTCTCGCCATCGGTCGCGAAACGTTGGATTCGTTGGACTTTTTGGCGGCGCAAAAAGTGCGCGCGTTCGCGGCGGAAGCCATCGACTTGGTGTTTGACCAAGTGGACGTGTTTGCCACCCCCACGACCGCAACATTGGCCCCTCGCCTGGAAAACGACGTGTTCAGCGCTGGCTTGTCCGAATTGTCGCTCACGACGGCGTTGATGCGGTATATTATCTTGGGCAACATGGTTGGTATTCCTGGCATCTCCGTTCCTGTCGCGTACGCTTCGGGGTCCAACTTGCCCATTTCAATGCAATTTCAAGCAAATCATTGGCACGAGCACATCTTGTTCGACGTGGCGTCGCACGTGGAAGCCCATGCCGTTGCAAAACGACCGACCATCTACTATTCGATCCTCGAATCGTTGGCGTGATCCACTCGAGCGGTGTCGAGGCATGGACCCACTGGGCCACGTACGTTCTGTGCAAGTTCCTCCCTTCTACCGCTGTTTAAATGGCTTGTTGGAGTGCTTTTGGCGGATTAATGGATACCCCAACATGCCAAAGCGTTCTCGTCATCATCTGAATCAGTCAGAAGGAGTGGGAAAATACTTCGTAGCCTTGCTTCCACAAATGCACGCAATCGCCTGCCTTGACTCTGTCCAGCCGCTTTGGACTCTATTTATCCTGCAAGACGTGAGCCATACGCGAAGGCAATGTCAAAGAAGTTATGACTTTTGTTGGTGCACACGTCGTGAACTCGCTTTTAGGACGTGCGACGTGTTCAGAGCAGAGCCATGGTCTGCATTTCGTCGCACCACCAAATTTGCTGTGCGCAGATGATTCAACAAAAAAATTCCAGCCAATCAACGGGATCGAATGCGCTCTGTCGCGTTGTGGTTGGTGGAAACGTACAACCCGACGACACCCACGTGGCAACCCGGAGTGCACGCACATACACCCAACGCACCATCGAGGGGCGTGCCGTGGACGCAGTTTAACATTTGCCGCTGGTATGTCAAGTGTGGAGAGATCCACATCGTGCCACTGGTAAGAACAAAACACGTGTCGTCGTTCCGGGAGCGCATTCAACAGGCCCACCGGAGCGTCGACGTGTGGGAATCGTTGATGGTCAGATCTCTTCGTGGAATGCGGCGCGGGAGCTGGTTCCTTGGCCAAGATGTCGAATATATACCCGTTAGCAGGAGGTGCGCATGACCCATCGCAATGTACAGTCGAATACTTTCCTGTGCTTGTACGTATCCAGCGACAACGTGAGCCTGGGCAAAACTGTGGTCTCCAAGTGACGGCAAGTGGAGCCGTACATGACGTTGGTGGGGCGCTCTACTACACCAACACGAGGCAAACGATCTCAGAGGCGAGCGCAATCGGCTGTTTTTCGCGCATGTTGGTTCCTGTTCCTGGAACACATGTGAACCACATGAACGCCAAGAAGCAGCACAGACGCGGTCGCGGTCGCCGCTAAAAAGTCTTCCACTGGATCCACATGGACGTGGGGCGACGGCACGATCGACGTGGCCAAGAACAATAGGTCGGCCGTGGCACCGAACAAGACAGCAGCACATCATGCTCTTGGCAAAGCCTTACTGACGGCACCGAACATCCGACGCGCGACCGCCAACTTTCTGTCAGCACGCCCTCGTTTTCTGCCTTGCATCGAAACGCAGCCTTTGCCGGCCAATGTCGATCTGTGGCGCTGTGACCTGCAGCTTGACGAATTCTACGTTGGTTTGGGGTTGTTCCAAGTCGACTACTTTGCGCATCCGGGCAACTGTGGGGGTAGGCGTTGAGGGCTGCGCCATTGAGGTAGATGGTCATAGAACGTGCGACATTGGGCAGGGTGTGCATGCGCACGACTCATGCATGCCCCCCCTTCCACACTGTCGGAAAGTCATGAGGAATGGGACATGCAACAGAGGATGCAGCGAGATGCAGGTATGAAACATCGTGGGACGGTTCACCCAGAGGGTGGACTACGCTCTCGTTGCAAGTCTGTTCCTGCCAACACCATCGGGACGGGCAAGTCACGGCGACCCAGAGAATCACCGTGCCAGCGCCAGGGCTCAGTATACCCTCTGCTGGAACACTCTCCACCAAGGTGGCCCGACGAAAATCACGCCGAATTCCTGACCCACATGGACCGATTTCGTAACAATGAGATATCGACTCAGTTGAAGCAATCGATGGGAAGCCATGTCGCACTAAGCTTCTTGAATCCCAACCTTCATAGCGACGGGCGGCAGCTCCAGATCCTGCTTGATGTTGGCGCGTTCGCCTTCGGGCTCTTCGGCCTCGCTCTCGACTTCGTAAACGTCGGTGGCACGCTGCGGCGGGCCGACGCCATTTCGACATCGGTCTCGTCGTCACTGTCGTCTGCGGCTTCCGTCATGGGCAGCTACGGCGCACGTCAACATGTGTCCGTGTCGTCGATGGAAACGACCGACCTGGGTTGAAAACGCAAATTGGGACGACCGGGCCGTGGGCCGCCAGATCACACACATCGCGAGCGACACAATAAAGTTGAGGACCGGCCATGCCACGAGCTGCATCCATTCCCACTCGATTTTCCACTCAAACACACCAAAGCGACTAATTGCACGCGAATAAAGTCATCGTGGTGGTCTCGATGAAGCGCGGCTCGAGCAACAACGTACCCGCAGACCGATACGATGGTCAAGATGGCAAAGAATACGACGAAGCCACCCAAAGCCCACGCGAGGGACTTGTACATGTTGAGCTTGGCCGACTGTTTTTGGACTTGGAGCTCTTTCAAGATCGTTTCAAGGGCGACATAGATCCACAGCACGAACGACAAGTTGCACAGCAACTGGAGGAAAGACCACACGCTCGGGCGGCGGTGCGCACTTTGATAATCCAGCAACCCGTCGCGCCACAAATCGTCGCCAACACCTACCTCCGTGGTTACGAACCCACAAGGGACAAGACGGATCGACGCTACCCGTGCCAAAGTACGCCACGGAGAGCACCACGATGAGCCATTTTTGGACGGGCGGAAGAAAGTTTCGCACGATGCCGTACCCGAGGCACACGACCAGGAGCAACGACCGCGCGAAGGTGCGCATACCCACCTACTCACGGCGACGTCAGCGCTACGGCCACACAAAGCCAACCTTACGTCGAACACAACCGCCGTGATATATAGCGGCGGCAACGGCCACCGGAACGGCTCGCCTTGGTCGTTCATTTGAGTCAGCGCGAGAAACCAAATGCTGCTGGACGCTGGATGACGAAAGCACGATGAACAAGGGCGAAATTATGCAGTGGGTCTTACCGACACCTAGTCCCAGCACGGAAAAAATGCCATGCTGGAGGCGGATGAGCGTCTTGCGGTAGCACACTAGAAGCAGTCCGAAAAAGATGGCCAGCACGAGATACCCGAGTGCGAGGAACCCACTACGACAATCAAGCGAATGTGAACGGGAAAACGAGCGCCGACATTCAAAACAGACCTGAACGGCAAGAGGCCGTAAAACACCGCCGGCAACAAACCATACGGGTTTCGCACAGTCAGCGTGCCGGTAAAGTTGAGTGCATCCTCGGCGCGGCTCCCTTCTTTCGTGCACACGACGACGACGGTGTCGATCCAGCCACTCGTGAGTACCTTGTATGACGTCTTGGCCATCAAAAGGCGGTTCATCACCATGAACTCTTCGCGCGAAAAGTGGTTGCTGCCGTCGGTCGAGAAGATCTGCTTCTCCGGCGAGCATGCAAACATGTAAATGTTCTCTTCCATGCTTGTCAAGAACGACAGGTCGTCCGCGTGGTAGTGGAAAACCACGACCTTCCACCCGTCCATGTTGGGCGTGACGTGCAACCCTTCAATCTCGAGATCGATGCGGGATTCACCATACACGCCGAGGAAGGGACCCTTGTCCGTGGCAAACATTTTCTCGGCCCGCTGAAGAGCGAAGTCGAACGGATTCGAAAAAGCTGCAGACATCTGGGCATTGTGGATGGTGTACACCGACGCCACAACTGTTTGGACAAGGAACACCAAGGCCATTGCCATCACAGCCCCGCGGCGGGCGCTCGCACCCATGGTCGTCGCACCGCCCTGTTGTCGAAATGTGGCCTCCATCCCACATATCGTACTTTACCGGGATTTTGACGGTCAAAATCCAGGTGGACTTATCCAAAATTACAGTATTGAAAGTTTCAAAACGTTGACTGTAGTATCAGCTTAAGATTTGGAAGTACTTCCGAATTATAAAATAGAAAAATACAAGATTGTCGAGGCCTGTTTTGAAGGGATTTGAGAGCAAATTGTATCACTTGTGAAATCATCCTGGATTTTATGAAATTCGATAGGTAGATATTCGCAATTTTGTATCAATTTACGCACATTTTCCTGCTCTCCCGATATAATGATACAGGGTTTTTCGATTGCTCCAAGATAAGTGCGTCCGTCCCTGTCCGAAGAATGCCGAGGTCGCGATCGAGGTCGCCACGACGACATGGGTACGACAATGCAGGGGACGAAAGGGGGCGGGAAGGAAGGACTAGTGTAAGCGGACACCGCACTCATCACCGAAGCGCAAGTCCAGAGCGTCGCAGATGGTCTCGCCGTCGTAGCCGCAGTCCCAAGGAATCGGCACAACGCCGTCGGCGGATATCCCCCAGCAGGTCTCCATCGTCCTCGTCGAAGAGCTCTAAAACGCCGCGGAAAGAGGAAGATAGTGCATTTCACGACGATGCCCCTTTGTCGGCACAAGAGGCTCGTCGATCATCGTCCTCCCGAGGTCCTCGCCGCATTGCTCCCAATGTCGGTCTGCTCGGTCGCATCATGCAATCCACGGCCAAATCGCGAGACAAGGAAGACGAGCGGGAGCGTCGAGTCGCCGACGAGAAACTGGCGGCGTTATTGGGTTCTTCTCACCGGTAACAACTTGATTTGAACACAGCATTCTATACAGTTTTATCTACTTTCTCAATGTCGCGCGGACGTGGGCTTGGGCGGCAATCGACTCCCGGATGATCGCACTTCGAGACATCTTGTTCGTGGCTTGGTACACTTCCATCGGGACAGGGAGCGACCGGTCGCCGATAATGACGTGTGTTGCGCGGTCGTACGGGAACGGCTTGAGCACGTCCTCGGCAAAATACGCTGTGATCCGAAGCTTACGCAGTCCTACAATGTATACGCCGTCGTCGCGAATGCCCATGACGAAGCCTGAACCAAACAACGGGCACAGCACGCGCTGGTCGATCGCAAACTTGGGTCTATCCCACTCAAATGAGCTTCCAAGTAGCGGAAAGTGAATCAGCGTACCCTTTCTTGAACGCGGCCAAGTCCTCCAGCGTCGACTTGACCGACATCGCTTGCGCTTTGAGCACGCCATTTGCCGACGACAGCATCGTGGACGACGTGTACACGGCTTGTTTGGTCTTTTCATAGAGCGACGTGAGAGTGCGCCGCGCGGGGATGACTCCGTCCGGGAAGGTCGCTTCCATTTGGCTCAGGGCCACGTACAATTTTGCACTGGACACTGCCGTTGCTGTGTGCAACCCAAAGTTGTCGAGCGAACACGTCACGACATCGTCATCGGATGCGTTGGATGGACCGATGGCGGTGATGGTGACAAGACCAAAAGTTGGGCTGCGCAGGACATCGCCGACCATGTACTTCTCCGTGCGTTTGGATGATGCTCCAGACAAGACAGACGGCACGGCGCCTTGTGGCATCGACGGTAGGTGAAACTTGGGCAAGGTGGACGAGTAGGATGGCAATTTGAACGAGTACGACGACGACGGGAGCGAGGCAGCAGACACCTTCTTCGCCAGGATCGACGATGGATTCACCGTGTACAGCATCGAATTGTGCAATGACAACTGAATGTGGTAGACGGGCCCAGAGTGTCCCGACGACATCAACACAGCCACGACGTGCCCGACACCATAGACGGTTGCAATGCGGTCTCCAGTTGCAAAGTCCAACGGTGTGTACGTCCGCGGTTGAAGGTACCCAACGGCGCCACATCGGAGAAACCGAATTTGAGCAACTTGGCTGTCCGCAATGGCTTCCAACCTCCCTTCGCCAAACACAGGCGACCAAACAGGCACTGCTTTGGCTGTTGACGCAGACGACGCGTTGAGGCGCATCAGGGACGCATACGACGAGTGCGACGGCCGCCAAGACGACACAGAACTCATGCGCTGCGCTGTGGACGAGTACGAGTCGCCGATTGTTTTGGACACGAGTTCCCGCGCTGCGGTAGCTCGCGACGCTAGAGTGGCACTGGCCGGTGTCGGGATATCAAACATCTTTGTCGTGGCTTTCATGCGCCAAACATGGTCATCATCCCAGCGCCAGTCCAGGGCGATGCTGTACTTGTCTTCGTCTACATAGTAGTGCTCCACAGTCGCCATGCCTACGAGCATCGCAACAAGATGCCGAGGACGAAGGAAAACAGAGGTCGTGCGTTACCCCACTTCGTCTTGACGCGGTCGCCAACCATGCACTTGATCTCTCGCACGACGGCCGATGCATGAAAGAAGGAAACGGCGTTGTACACCATGCGCAACACGTACATTCTTTCGGCCTCGCGGTATTGGAGCACAATTGCTGTACCATACTTGGTGGCGACGTAACACCCGTCGGGGTACCGCTCGACGACTCGGATGGCGCTGCATCCACATCAGTCCGTCCTGTCTCGTACATGTATGGCCTAGTACCTCGCGCGGTCGCCGTCGAGTTCTGGACGAGAATCGTCGCTACTCCTGGACTTGTTGAACGTAATCTTCTTCAACAGATTGGATGAAAATGCAGACATGAGGTTCGTCGTCGCCGCAGTCTTTTGGCGCTTGTTGTGTAGCGGGTTCTCGCTGTCGTCGTCAGAAACCGAATCGAGGCGCTTATTCGAAGAAGTGGTCGACTTGGAGAAGCTCGGTTCCTCGGCAAGCATCTGGTTCTCGGACCCGGCGTTCGCGGTGCGGGAGCGCGACGTCGCGCGCGCGAAAAGGTTCAGACCCACCATGATTCCAATGACTTTCGCAACTGAGGAATCTTCATTGACTAATTTAAATGCCTTGCCTTTTTTATAGAAAATGTCTCCGTCCTCTGGCGAACGGCAGCATAATTTTATATATCTAGAGTTTGTATCAAATTGGAATTAAAATGGTCGTTTTTTTACACATCTATAAACGGGACGCCCGACTCGCGATGACAGCAAAAGTTGGGCGAGACAAAGGGAGCGATGGATGCACCCCCAGGACGCGCTGCACGATTGAAACAGTGGAAGTACTCGACCATATTGTCCAGAATATGGTTCGTGAACTGCATGGTTGCTTTTCCGACATGCGTGTACGCATTGCTAAGTGGCCTAACATGCTCCCCTACGACTTGTTGCCTACGACTTTGTAGCACTCCTTGACGAGTTGACTTTGTCGGCTGTTGAGACCGATGAACCGGTGGACGGGGACACGCTCATCTCGATCCGTGTACCCTGCATCCATGAGGAACCGTCGTGACTACATCATCATTTCGACTTCGTGGTGTATACCTCGTTTTCCATGAGGCGGCGACGAAAAAATCTTCATCGACGGAGCCTTCAAAGGTTCGGCAGATGCATGTTGGTACTGTGGAATTGTCGCCGTCCGAATCGGCGCTGTCTTGCGTGCCTTCATCGCCTCCTTCCACTGGTGCTTCCAAAAGTCGCTGCCACTGCCGATTGGTGCCGCCGTGTCGAAGCGCTCGCTCTTGGGGACATATGCCACATTGCTCTGCATCGAGTGCGCAGACGACGACACGGACGCTTGATTTAGGGACATGTGGTACATGCTCTGCACGTTCGAGAGGCGGTCCAGTTTGTCGCTGAGCTCCCTCGTCAAGTTTTTGTACTTTTGCAGCTCTAGCAATACTTGCTCCTTCTCGACCGTCGCTTCATGCAATGCGACATGCTTGAGCTCGAGGTTCTACACACCGAGTCGCATCAGTTGATGTCAATTCAGATCCGATGGAGTACGAAGCGCAAGTCGCGGAGATCCTTCTCGAAGTTCGTGTGGGCCGACTGGTTCTCGAGCGCCTTGACATGCTCGTCGTTCTTCTTTTCTTCGTACTCGCGAAGGGTCTTATAGGCCGCTTGAAGCTCCTTGCGCTGGCTCTCGAGGTGCCGCCGCAACAGATCGATTGTCTCGGACATGACAAGCACCTGCTTCTCAGCGTCCGATGCGTCCTTGACGAAGTTGATGTCATCCATGTCTTCAAGGTCAGGGTCCATCTCAAGACGCTGGTTCAGCGACAACATCGCATCTTCCTCAGCGATTGACCCTGGCGGCTGCTTCGTCTGGTCGAACAACTGCGACGCTAGCGACCGGTACCCTGCCATGACGAATCGCTGCCAAACGACCTCGGGAAATCGGTTAC